AGGGGGGGGGGGGTTTCACGTGACTCCCCGAGACACTTACAAACCGTTATCCATGCGAGTCAGTTCCCAAGCGGCTTGAAATTTGGTCACGTGACCGCAGGGATGATGCAACGGTCGTAACAGTGTGAACAACGGTTGTAAGACTCTCTTTTTTTCCAATGCCGTTGTAACTTTGAACGGTCGCTAAGTGAACTGCTGTAAGTTGAGGGCTGTCTATACTTGCCTTTTTGCAAGCACTGTAAACTGAGGTAGCGGTGAAGAGGTGCTTATGTGCTGTGGCAACTCAACAAGGACTGGAGGAGTATTCCCCAAAGGACGGGGAGGCTTGGCGCTGCGCTTTCCCTGAGATTTCAAGGACACAGGCCAGGAGAGGGGAAGGGAGGCTGGTAGCCCCTGAGCATGAACAGAAGGCCCCCACTCGGTTGATTTCCTGGGAGGAGGAGGAGCCCGTCCAAGGGTTCCTTGTCGCAGGGCGTTCTGCACTTGCTCAAGGACCTATTCTACTCCTCCTCCTATTTCTGGGGGTGGGTGGCAACCCAGCTGAAGATCCACCCCACCCAGGCAGCTGCCTGCTCCTTGGGGGCCCTCTGCACATGCTTGTAGAGCCCTTGTCATCTTCCCCTTCCTCTTCCCTGTGGTGTTTCTGGGTGGTCTGGAGGCAACCCAAACAAAGGTCCTCCCCGTTCCAGTCCTCTGCATGTGCTCAGATAACCCTCTCCTAAAGCTCCCAGTGGGTGTGAGAGCAGCAGCACAATGGACACACACACACCCCACGTGCCCCTCTGCGTTTAATCAGAGGTCCCACTTCCTCCTCACACCTGTGCGTATCAGGGCTGAGAACACTGCCTAATCTTTTGCGTGAGCTCAGAGGACTCTCCTTCTTCCCTGACACTCCCCCCATTGATATAGGACCAAGGACAACCCCTTAAGTCTTCTGCACATGCTCAATGGACCCCCTTCCTCTCCCCACAGTGGGAGTGGGGGCAACAGTGCAGTGCATGCCCCCCCAACCTTTCTGCACTCACTCAGAGAACACCCCCTCCCCGCTCACCCACCCCTGCGGGGATAAAGCTGAGGACACTCCCCCAACACTCTGCACGCACTCAGAGTACCCCCCATTGGATATGGGAGCCAAGGACACCCCCCCCAGCCTTCCGCTCTTGCTCGGGGGACCCCCTTCCCTTTCCCCAGAGTGGGACTGGCGGCAGCAGTGCAGTGCACAGATACACACACCCCTACCTCTCTGCACATGCTCAGAGGAACCCCCCCCCCCCACCCCCCCACCCCCCGAGAGGCAGACCCCCCCCCCCCCTTCCCACTCTATAACCCTCTGCACTTGCTCAGAGGATATCCCCCTTTCTCCTCAACGCCCCCCCATAGGACATGAGAACCATTGACGCCTCCCTAGCCCTCTGCACTCCCTCAGAGGACCCTCTCCTTCCACCCCCACGGGGATAAAGCCAAGGTCCCTCGCCCAGCACTCTGCACTCCCTCAGAGGACCCCACTCCCCCCCCCCATATCTCCTCCTTCCCTCCCACGAGCCTGGGGGTCCCCCTGGCGCCTCCCCTTCGCCCTCTGCACGCGCTCCGAGGACGCCCTCACCGTTGTGGTTGACCCAGGTCGGTTTCAGGAGCTTCATTTTCCCCCTCGCCGCCTCCTCCTCCTCCTCCTCCTCTTCCTCCGCCTCCTCCTCTTCTTCTTCCCTCCGCCGAGCCGCTCCTCTCGCTCCGTGTCGAGGACGGCCGCGGGCCGGGGCAGGCGGGACGGCCCCGGCTCAGGCTGCCCTGGGCAGGCGGGAGGAGGAGGCGGCGGCGGCGGCAACCCCCGGCCCTCGCCCCGGCCGCCCTCAGCGCCGCCTTCCTCCTCCTCTTCCTCCCTTCTCCTCCGCCCCGAGGCCCTCAGGGCCGCCTCGCCATCGCCCGTCCCGCCCGCAGCAGCAGCAGCCGCCGCCACCCGGCCGCATCCCCCGCTCCCGGCGGCTCCCCGGCAACGCCGGAAGTCAGCGGAGGGCAACGACCCAAGCGGCCCGGCGGGAAACAAGGGACGACGCCCAGAGAGGCCCGGCCGGGTGGCGCGGCGGGGGGGCTTCCCGGGAGGCCGCCAAAGGCGACGGCCGGGGGCGGCGCGAAGGGCGTCAGGGCCGCCGAGGGTTCCCGGAGAAGGAGGAGGAGGAGGCGGCGGGGTAGAGGGAGGCTCGGGGGCGGCTCAGAGGCCCGGGCGGTCGGCATGGCTAAGGCAAGGGCTGGGAGAGGAGAGAGGGACGGCCCTGTCAGACGGCGGGAAACTACAGTTCCCGGGATCCTCCGCTATGGCGGCTGGCGCTGAGGCATGCCGGGAGGTGTAGTTCGGCGGGAGGCGACAGGTAGGGAGGCGGAGAGGGGGTGACGTCATGAGTGTTCTTCCAACTCCCCGGCTCCAATTTAGAATAGAATGGAATTGCAGATTGAAATAGAATAGAATAGAATAGAATAGAATAGAATAGAATAGAATAGAATAGAATAGAATAGAAAGATGGAAGGAGAATGAATAAAATATAGAATAAAGAATAGAACAGAACAGAATAAAGAATGAAGAATAGAGTAGAATACAATTCAATACAATAGAATCGAATTCAATAGAATAAAATAGAATTCAATAGAATAGAATAGAACCTTTATTGTCACTTTAACTATACACCAGTCAGCATACATTAAAATGAAATTTTTTTGCATTCAGGTCTTAAAAGATAACCATTATGCATATACCTCCATACACACATATTCAAAGCATACAAATATCTATTTATATATTTCATCATATGGTATTTATGTACTTTATTAAAATATATTTTAAAATTGATTAAAATGTATTTACCTGTTTTACTACTCAGGTAGTTCTTGACTTATAACAGTTCATTTAGTGACCGTTCAAAGTCACAACGGCACTGAAAAAAGCTACTTATGACCATTTTTCACACTTATAACCCTTGCAGCATCCCAGTGGTCACCTAATCAAAATTCAAATGCTTGGCAACTGACTCATATTTATGACTTTTCCAGTGTCCCTGGGCCATGTGATCCCCTTTGGCAACCTTCTGACAAGCAAAGTCAGTGGGGAAAGCCAGATTCATTTAACAACTATGTCACTAACTTAACACCTGCAGTGATTCACTTAACAACGGTGGCAAGAAAAGTTGTAAAATGGGGCAAAACTCACTTAGCAAGTATCTCCCTTAACAACCGAAATGTTGGGCTCAATTGTGCTTGTGGACTACCTAATATTATACATAATAAAATAGTATATATTTTTATTAAAATAAAAACATTTTATTGTAATTTATTAGCCTCCTATCTTACTATAGGGGCATGCATAAGCGCACTGACATGCCTACCATCCCTGTCCTAATGTTCTTTTTTATTTGTATCCATTTCATGTATTCATAACCATTTATTTTTATTTATTTATTTGATTTGTCAATCACTTATAAGATAATAGGTATAAGTATAAACATGAGTAAGAGTACAGGAAATAAGTACAAATGGGGACAATAGGACAGGGACGGTAGACATGATTGTGTTTATACTTATACATGTTTATATTTATACATGTTATACTTATACTTTCATGTTTATACTTATACATGTTATCTAATGCATGCTTAGAAGTTAGAAGTTAGAATTCTTTATTGGCCAAGTGTGATTTGGACACACAAGGAATTTGACTCCGTGCAAATACTTGACAAAATAAATAAATAAATAAAACTCTGGGCAGCTTTATAAATTTTTAAAGATTTTTTTTGTTTAGATACTCTGATTTTTTGTTTGTTTACACCACCCATCTCAGCTTGCAACCGACCAAGCAAATAAAACATCAAAATAATAAATATTAACTAGGGTATTAACTAGGGGGGTGGGATGCGCGCGCAACTTTTCCGGAACTTCCCCGACGAGCCTTCGGAAGCGGGAGAGCAGCAATCGGCGTCGGACTGCGGTGTGTCGCTGGAGCGGTCCTCCATTAGGAACGGAGGCATGTGGGCCCCGGGTGCGTTCAACCTCCTCGGGAGCCGGACGGCAGGCGTTTTATTTCGGTAAGCGGCCAGAAGGGGGTCCTTCGGGTGCTTCCAGCGGCGACCAGTAGGTCTTGGGGTGGATTGAGGGGGGGGAGTAAAGCTCGCCCTTGGAAACGCCCCGCACCAGCCCCGCCATGAAAACCCTTCATACAGCATAACAGAGTTGGAAGGGACCTTGGAGGTCATCTAATTCAACCCCCTGCTCAAACAGGAGACCCTGTTCCATTGCAGACAAATGGCTGTCCAATCTCTTAAAAACGTACAGTGAATGGGTCACCCACAATTTATCATAATTTTTAGAACATCGAATAAGGTTGGAAGGGAACTTGGAGGTCTTCTAGTCCAACCCCCTGCTCGAGCAGGAGACCTTATCCCATTCCAGACAAATGGCTGTCCTGTCTCTTCTTAAAAACCTCCAGTGATGGCGCACCCACGACTTCTGGAGGCAAGTCATTCTGCTGATCGTTTTAGAATTAGAATTCTTTTATTGGCCAAGTGTGATTGGACACACAAGGAATTTGTCTTAGTGCAAATGCTCTCAGTGTACATAAAAGAAAAGATACATCCATCAAG